TGATAATTAAGACCTTATCAACATTTGATAATAATAACCATGTGATAATGGCACCATTAATTATCACAATTTGTCACAAACTTATCAACCATGTGACACATCGAATAAAAATAATTCATGATTGATTCCTCTTTATAACTTCTTTATTCCTTTCGACTGAAAGCATGGGCTATAAAATTAATTAGGGTACCATCTGTGTGAGTCAATTACCTAAGCTCACCAATTGTGAGGAGTGACCTGGCCAAAGATCATTACACTCATTCTTAAACCACGGCTTTTCTTATTCTCGAATACATGGGGTGTCATAAATTCTAAGCTAGTCTTCTTGACAAATAGGTGAAAATAGCTAAATTCAAGTCCCTCGATAGACTATGGGACAGCCTCTTAACAAATAGTGAGACAAGGTTAGCTTTCATACACCAAAAGGTAGCCATATAATACCATGTGGATTTATTTACTTTTCTCTCTAAGTGAACTCTGACCAAACAATCATGCTAATTATGATGCTTACTCTTTTCACAATTTTATATCTCAATTAACTCATTGGGTTACAATAATACACTAACCCCATGAGCATCCTTAATCATTTATATATATTTTCCACATCATACATTCATCATATCAATTATAATACACATTCTCTATATCACAATTATCATATCAATTATTTGCATCAACACAAAATTGTTATATGAAAGCATTTCTAGTTCAACTTTACAATTATAGTTAAATTTAAATTATACGGCACCTCACATTATCTTGGCACATGTTTATAATCACAATTTCAATCATGTGTGTCAACTATTTCATTTTCAAAATATGCATAAATGAACAAACAACTATATAAAATAGATTTTCTCACTTATCTCAAATCTTTAAGAGATTAAAGGTTTTTTCTTTAATAAATTTGCTTCCAAGCTTGCTCTTCAAGACCTAACTAGTGTATGGGTTGATTAATCTATAATTAAATAAACCCACAATCATCAACACAATTATTCACACATCTTAACTTCTTTACTTCAACATCTAAAATACCTCAAACCCTTATTTCTCGCATGTAGTCTCACCCATTTGATGTATTAACTCTTGTTAACTCTCATTAGCTTTATTAAACACTCAACTCACCATTAATGGCTCCAACTACCTTAAAAACCCACATTTATTGCTTATTTTCGAACATTAATGACTTACAACCACCATTAGTGTCTAAACCCACAAATTCTAGGTTTAAATACTTCAAACAACTCCCATTAATTTTATTTGAGTCAATAAGTTTAAACCCATTACTTATATGGATTGAAAATCAATTCTACACTACAAACCGTAGCTTCAAAATAGTGTAAAGAGGAAGGGAAAGGATAGAAAGACTTACCTTAGTGATTGAAAGCTTAAACCCTATCTAATTCTTTACAATGTCATGCCTTAGCAGAGCTCTAAGCTTTCAACTTCTCTTCTCTCGTTTTCTCTTTTATTTTCCTATGTTTTTCAGGCTTGATGTGTGACTTATTTCTGTAACATTTTGGCTATGTGCCGCAGCTTACTCTACCTCTGCCATGCTGATGGCATAAAGAGGGACTCCATCTTGCTATGTAATGCACTGTGGCTTGTGTAACTCATGCTATGATTCTCGATACAACATAAGAACCCTTAAATTCTCATCTCCCTTTGAAGCCTAACTGCCTCAATTTTACTTTGAACTTGATCCTCAAGCTACAACCATATGCCAATAAAGCTCTGTAGCCCTCTCTAACCACCTCTAACTTTATTTAACTTAATTAAACTTGACTATCTTACTAATTAACTAAGAATTAAAATTTGAGATGTTACAAACCTCATCTTATTCAAGTCTTACCAAGTTTGTACCTCTCCAGAAGAGATGCAAAGATGGAAAGAAAAATGATGGAAATAAAAATAAAAAGAAATAAAAGAAGATATTGGAAGGATATTGAAGATTTGAAGATCAAATTTACTTTCATATTAATTAGAAATATTTTTTTTAATTTGAATTATTATGATCTTTTAGCACTTATGGCTATATTTTCATTTATTGTTATTTTTTTATTTAATTTTAAGAGTTTTAGGATTTTCATGCATTTATTTCTAGGGTTAGGTTTATGCTAATAAATAATAGCTTAACTCATTTGATTTGTACGCATATTTGATTAAATAAGAATTATTGTTATCTTGCCTCTCTCCTATAAGTTTTTCTCTTCTCTTTATATTCTTTCTACTAATCATTTTCTCTCTTTTCTATATTATCTTCCCCCTTCTCCTTCCCCATTCTATATCAACAAGAATATAGTCCCTTAAAGTTAACATATGATAAATTAAGGTTAAAATCTCTATTAGGAGAGTCCACTTTTAATGCCCAATTATGTCTTGAACTGAATTATCTTTAATAGGAGGAGACTTGTGGGTATTAAAAACTATCTCACTTTAAATCAAAGTGAATAAAAAAGAAAAATAATAGAAAGATCCCTTTAAAATATACAAATGGCAATGAGGTCTCGTGAAATGCTATATTTCCTTTCAAGTCTTTGGAGACTTTTTTGACATTCATGATTTTTGATTAAATGATAAAAATACCTTCAATTTAAGATTAAAAAAGTAACAACTCTGGCTTAAAAAAAAGTAGATATCAATTACTACTACTTTTTGCTTAAACAATGACTACTTTTCTTCTATTAATAACTAGAACGAAACAAATAATTACAACTTTCTTAGTGCAAATTTTTTATTAACTAAAGATCAAGTGTTGTAAATATTTATTACTGCTTTAGTTTAAGTATTGACTACTTTTTCTCTGACAATGATAAAAATAAAACAAACACACCTTTTTTCTTGCATATTTTTTATTCACTAAAGTTTAACTTTTTTATGATGTCATTAGGATGCTTATCTACACAAGATTGCTTATCCTCAATTTCAATAGAAGAAAATTAATAATTACTTAAACTAAAGTAGTTATAGATATTTAGAACACTTGGACGTCAATGAAGCAAATATTTGCATAAAAAGAATTGTAATTGCTTATTCTATTTTAATCATTGCTAGAAAAAAGGCAATTATTATTTAAACAAAAGTGACAACTAACATTTACTTTTTGAAACTAAAACTATTACTTTTTTATCTTAAAATGGAGGTATTTAGTCATTTCACTAAAAATTATTAATGTCATAAAAGTCTTTAGAGATTTGAAAAAAATTATGACATTTCACGGAATCTCATTGTTATTTATATATTTTCAGAGAATTTTTATATCATTTTTCTGAACAAGAATTCTCCTGATTTTTTTCCCTATAAAATACTCTCTTATTAGCTCATTCTATGAATGATATACAACGAATAACGATGGCATGTAATATACAGAATAAGGGAATAGTAGTGCAAGTGAGAATACTGATGAAAAAAGATATTAGTCTGTCTGTGTGGACATGAATATACAATATTATAATAGTTAATCAAGTGTGTGCGCATGCGCGCGCGTGTTGATATGGAGGGGTATTCTGGTTTGAGGATTGAAGATGATGGAATAGAATTCTAAGTGTCATCATTTTCATTATTCAATAGCCAAAATGATTCGAGTTTTGAAAGCTGACCGAAGTATTTAATCAAAAAATAAACTTGCCCTTCTGTATCCTCCGACATTTGACACGTCAAACATGATGACTTGACTTCATTTCTTTTCTTTTTTTTTTTCCTTTAAAAAATTTATTAAAAGGGTTTAAAACAAATTAATTAATCAAAGCTAACGTACGTGCATGCGTGAAGATCATGATGACGAACTCATACGTGGTAATGTAAGCATTTCCTGATCATACATAACTTTTTGCATTTTCATTGATGATTTTAAATCGTTATTATTTGCTTTCCCTTTGAATGTCAACAACTTGCATGTATTCTTATAGGGGGCATACCCCCACTGAGAATTTGCACATACTCTAAGCTTAATCTCTAATTAAGTCAGATCAATTTTAAAACACTATTCTGATACCTCTTGAGTATGCCATATTAATTATTAGGATCTTCTAGAGAGAAGTAGCTGCAAAAAAGGGGGGGGGGTGTCATAGATTAACAAAGAATGACCGGCGAACTTAGTTGTTTTAAAATTGATCCAGCTTGCATATAAGGGTTAATTAACTGATTTACACTAAATAAGAAATTTGGATAACCTCGCTAGTTATTTAATTATAAAAAATACACTTCTCTTTTAATAATTTATGTTAGAGTATTACCAACATAACTGATACATCGTACAAGAATCTACCGATATATATGTGGACATATAATTTGGGAGAGCAAAATAATAAATATAAGAGATAAAAGAAACTGAAGTTTTACATTTATAATTAAAACAAATCTCTCAATTAGTTGCTATACATTGAGGACTATTATAAATAAAATTATATATATATATATATATATATAAGTGTTATTTTTACAATTACACTACATGAAATCCATATATATATCACTATAACATTTTAAGCCTATGGCATTTATTGCCATAGGAGAAAAAACTGTTGCCTATAAGCATAGGCAACGATTTTTTATCATACTTCAAATGATTGTTATCTAAAATATCTAAGGCAACAGTTTTTCATAGATCCAAAAGACTATTGCCTATTGTTAGTTTATAGGCAAGGAGTTTGGAGTTTGGAAATAAGCAACAAATATTACCTGTTACTAATATCTGAGAACAGTTTTCTCATTTTGCCTTTATCTTCTATGGCAACACTTTTTAATCCGTAACAAAGTTTCTAAAGCAACGGTTCTCGGTTGTTGCTCTTCTATAGCAACAGTTTCCACATGTTGCGTAACACATCACATGCAACAATTTACAAGCGCTGCCTTTTTGTTTACAAATGGCACCTGTTGCGTATAATATTATACTGCTAATTATTATTATTTTCAATTAAAACAATATTACTTAATACCGTTTACAATAAATGGAAAATTTCATCATTTCTCCTAAAAATAAAATAAAAAATATTGATCGATTGAATAGGAATCTTTGATCTAATAATTTCATAATTCTAATGTTTTGACAGTATCAACAATAACATCTCGTCCTCATATTTGCCTTACAAAGAATGTTCAAGTACCAACAAAAGAGTAAACTCCCAAAATGCAGTTGATCCACTATTTCAAAAAAGTCTTGAATTGCTTCGTAGGCCAAAGCCACTATTACTTTGATGTGGCCTTTGATCTTGCTATGATGGTAGCTTTTCGTTGGTGTGGTCTCCCTTCTTCATTTTCTTGATAATCGGCATAAAAAAAAATAAGACTGCAGTATGTGCTTAACAATAATAATAATAATAAAGCGGCCTGATAAAGAATAGAATATATTAACTGTCAATAAAAATCAGGAGACAACTCACCCATTTTGATCCCGAGATTGAATTGTGCAAAAATCTCCTAGGACTTTCACTCTGCACAGTTGAAACTTTTTTACACACGGAATTAAATTACAAAAACTTTACATGGAAATTTCTCAGAGGCATCATAAATTTCCTAGGACAATTGACACCAAATTAGATGGCCAAATGATAAAGTAATTTATGAAAAGAGAGAAGCAAGTTGATTTGAAAGTAAGATACGCATTAATGCCAAATTCTCCACAAAATGAATTAAGATTAGATCACATAATGCCAACCTGCAAAAAAAACTAAACAAAACAAAAGTTGAGATCACATAAAAAAAAAAAAAAATCTTTTTTTGCCCCCTATCTTTTTAGTTGGCCGAATGTCAACATATAAAAATAGGAGTACTAATTGTTTGCCACATACGGAAAAAGAACTATACAAGAGAACATCCATATTTTCTACTGGGGAATATTTGTCGGGGTGGCACGTTGGAAGGCATCGAAAGTCACACTGGAGGACCAATCCCCAAAACTTCGAAAATTGATTTTCCGCCATCAAAAGCGTCCAAAACTGATTAGATTACTGTTCATATGTTTAATTATTTATCTACATATATGTATGCTGAGCTATACGACAAACAGAGACAGGACAAACAGAACATACACATGCTTGTTACAGCTACTGTACACACACACGTGCGTGTGTGTAATTTAAAGCTTGATGGCCTCGTGTATTAAAGCATACACTGTCTCATTTATAAGTTCAAGAGTATTTGGACGAATCTAGCTAACTTGTTCACATCTTGCATACTTAAGAGGGAAGGTTTGCATATATATAATAACTTCAATGTAAAGATATAAAAGGGGTGTTGAATTTGATTATGCTTCTAGATTTAATGGGGTCTGAGCAAATTTCCCACCCCAACTACTCAGCCATTGCATTCTGCATCTTCCTCTCCCTCCACCATCCCTACTGGAATTGCCCTCACTTCCACATTGCCAAGAAATACATATCAAGTAGCACATAATATACTTATGTTTGTTTCTGTACATGATTTGGAAAACAAATCCACACTAGTAAAAAATGATACTATAGAAGATGTGATCTGTTTACATCAAAACTTAGGCTGCCTCAAGATACTTCCGCAAGCAACAAATTCCATGGGTTTTCCAACCTCAAAGGATGTGGGGTGAACATAGTGAAGCATTGGTGTGTGCACCCTTATCATGAGGAAATAAAGCAAACAGTAGAAATAGCACGGATGAATTTGATTTTACTTTTTTAATGTGAGGACATATTTTACAAAAAGAATTTTAAACTATAGGAACTACATTAATTATATTTCTAGAGCTGAATCAAAATCCTGCATGTTAATCTAGGGTTAGTGTTTTTATTTTGTCACCTATCTTTTCTAGCAATTTAAACATCATAGCTACTTATAATCCCTCGGCTAAAGTAACTGATTTGCTAAAGACAACTTTATTCTATGTTAATAAAGTAACTGATTTATTCTATTGCTAAAGAGTAAAGACAACTTTACTCTTTGAGAACTTTATTCTCAAAGACAAACAACAGATGCCTCACATAACAACAGGGATGCAAGCGTGTCATTTTAGCACAATTGTTCTCAAAGCCTATACAAGTAAAGTAAAAGAAAGAAAAGGGCATTAAGAATGTTAAATGTAAAGGGTTTTCAGTACTGCAGTGATTAATTTCAAGGCCTGCACCCAGGGATCCCATATTGATATATATGTCATTTGGTCTTATAATTTCCCGAGGTGTAGCAAGCCCATCATCATCAAGTATCTAGAGAGAACAGGGAAACATCCAACAGCATAAGAAAATATTTAAATCAACAAAAATTCAGACTACAATACTAGAAAAATGACAATGATGAGCCATCAATATCTATCTGATAATGTGCCACAGCAATGAAAGGAATAAAAAGCCTCAGAAACTTGGTTTTGAGCTTAGTGCCAATAAATACAAAAACTCTTATAATTTAATATAGAAACGACAATCCAATCAAGCATAAAAGAAAAACTCTCTCATTCTTCCTTTTTATAATTGCTTCAAAATTCAATTTAGTAACCCAAGTTTTACCATCCTAACACACACTCTCTCTCTCCCCCCCCCAAGCAAATATATGTTTCTAAGTTTAAACATAGAAATTGAACAACCTTATTTCCACCTTTTTGTTCTTAATTTATTGAACATACTTAACTACCCTATCCGAACTGAATTCCTCTTATACACATTTTATCAAGCACCTTACATGCATTCTAAGACAAGGTTATAAAACAAGCATCACACTCCAAAAAATAACAACATAAACATCCAGCTGCAAATATTAAAAAAAAAAACGATCTCAACTCCTCACACATCCACCACGGCAACCGAAAGATTAGCGACTAAAACTTACAGACGCATGGGTGCAGCGTCGACAAAGCAGAGGAAGGAGGAGAGGAGCTCGAAAGCCGGTGCCGCGACCTTACCATCACGAACGAAGTTCATACACGTGAGTGCACGCCAACGACAAGCCAATAGAAGAACGAAGAATTAGGGCCACCAACACCAACCCGCGACAAAGAAAGATAGAAGGGGTAGAAGATATTTGCCGACAGGGAGTGGAATCGTTTAATTGAGGGGAAGAGAAAGCACTGGACAGTCACGACTAGCGAGATTGACCCTTCGTTTTGATGAGAGGAAACGTTAAGAAAGAAAAATAAGTTCCGGTTTGGTTCACTGTCGTAGAGAATGGAATGTACTGTAATAACAGAGAATGAAATATAATGTAACGATGATTACATATATTTATATATATTTATTTGATAAGTTATAAGATGAATATATTTTTTTTTAAGAAAAAAATACTAAAATAATGATGAAATGTCCTTTCTACTCCTAATCACAAAAACAATTCCACCCATCTTCCTCCTTTTTCCAATGATGGCTATCCAGCAATATTACCCTCAACCTGAAAAATTAATACCTTATGCTAGCATAGATCACAGAGGAATGAAGGAAGATGTAAATGAGGAGATAAGATTTGAGAATGGTGGTGAGATAGGGTGGTGGTGAGGTGGGCTTTGAATTGGCTGCAGTGAGGTAGGCTTGGGATAGGTGATCTATTTTTGGCACAGCAACCATTGATGGTGATAGGCCTAGGTCGTAGTGGCGATGATGAGGTGATGCAATTCAAAGGTGGATGACGATAGCAGTGTATACAATCAAGAAGATCTTGTTGGTGGTGAAGGAAAGGAACGTGGCGGCATATCTGATGGGAGATGACGGCGGCCAAGGTTTCTCCTTCCTCCTGCTTCTTGTTTGAGACGTTTATTTAGCAAAGGGAGATGGTAAGCGATCGTGTTTTTCTCAAGGGCAATAGTATCTTTTCCTCATCTGTAATCCTTATTCATATGGTCTAGCGATGTAATCCAAATGTTGCCATTTAAAGGAATCAGGATTACATGATGTAATTCCCTTTACGTTACCAAGTCCAACCAAACACTTGGAATAAGCCAGCTGCATCATGATTCCATATAATTGAAATGCATGGAATTAAATTAAACTAGCCATGAGAGAAAAAAATTTAAAAAAATATTACTGCTCCTTATATTTAAATATGAAAGAAAAAAAGGAAGTAAAGAAAATGAGCAAACATCACAACAACTATAATATCCTCATATTAAAATATATTATATTTCGTGTAATATTTTCATAAAAATATATTATATTGAAATTAACATCATCAAAAATAATTTAAAATCAAGTTAGTTTTTAGTAGAAATACTTTTTTATTTTAATTATTAGTATTTTATTATCACCATAAGCCTACTCCTATTTTTGCCCAGAAGTATGTTTAAAATGCTATTTATTTTCTCCTTTCAATACTTTATTTTAGCATTTGGGGTTTGTCTCACCATTTAATAAGCATATACGTATAGAAATTAGATGTTGATGATGGCACCTAATGAAGAGGGGTGTATGTGTATAATGCTTTATCAAGCAGAATTGGATATAAATATTAGTGAATCTAGAATATTCAACAATGTCAGTGAGAGATGTGGAAGAAAATGAAAGATGCTAACGCAAGAGAAGGAGAGTGACAAAGATAATTGTCCTGGCAAAGAAAAGAGAGAACAAATTAAAGTAATGAGGCATGAGGGCAAAGGTGTGGAATGAATTTTTTTTTTTCAAAAAAATCTCTCCATATGTAAAGAGAAAATGTAGTGGGTCTCACACCTCATTTTCTCTCATACTTTTCCTTCCTCTCACTTTTCTTTTTTCATCAAGAGAAAACTTGTTTTTCTCCTAATTTTCTTTCCTCTCATATTCTCTCTCCATCCAAACAAAGCATAGAGAGACACAGATGGGAGAGGGGAGATGGCTAGGGTTGGGACATGGGAGGGAAAAGGCGATGCAATGGGGAATGGGAAGGAAGACACGAACAAAAGCTACAAAACACAAACTTTTTGCTGAAAAGGGTAATTTTAACAAAACTAGATTTTTTTATAATATAAAATTTAACAAAAAAGCATATCTGATTGGCTAGCATATAAACAATAAAAAAATATATTTAAGAAAAAGTTATATTTTTTGTTAAAAAAGTTAACATATAAACAATAAAAATTTTATATTATAAAAAATAAATTAGGCAACAGATTTTATTCGTTAGCTGACTATAAATTTATAAGCAACAGTTATCTCATGTTTTCTATTTTAAAAATAATTTGTAACAAACATAAAAGTGTTGGCTATTTAAAAAATAACTTACAACAGATCAAAAGGCATTGCCTATTTCATAATAGGCAACAGTTTCATCTTTTTTTACATACGTTGCTTAAAGTGTTACTTAAATGTAACACTTATAAAAGCGTTGTCTATAATAAGAATAGGTAATAGTTTTTGCCTGTTATAAAGTTAACTGCTATCGTAGTTCTAAATGTTGTAGTGATACATCCAAACAACATGTGGCCAATCATGCATGTCTAATTAGTAATTAGTCTAGCTACACTTAAGGCACAGTTATAATAGCCCACAAAAAATGTATATAATAGAATATTGAGATACAAATCTAAGATCCGCTTGTGCACGAGAATCGATTATTGCAAGTAAGACCAGAATTTGTTGGTTGATATATACACTCTTAATAAATGTATGTATAACAACATAAATATTTGTGAGGATAAACAATGGCTTTACTATAAATCTTAGACAACAGGACTACTTATAAATTATAATAAGATTCCAAATTCAGTTTAGTTAGTATATAAAGTTATAAACTCTAACAAGACAAGTTCAATGCATTGTAACCAAGTTTGTTATTATAAACATTAAATTTCACATCTAAAAAAGCTGTATTTTAAATTATATTCACAATCCTATCAAAGTTTGTTTATGGAGTTTACAAATAAAAGACATTCCATAGCGGGTATGTTGACAAGGTCACAGAACAAAACTATCAATTTTTTTTTTAAACCTTGAAAATTATCAGAATTTGCAGAATATAAGCTCGATGAAAATTGATATAAAAAAAAGTAGTACGATTGAAAATTCTAGTTCACTATAAAAAAATTTTTTATATCTGTTTAATTTTTTGGCAAATAATAAATTTTGTTATATATATCATTAATTGTTATAGATGAATCCTTCTCAAAAAATAGTAGGAATCCATGCTTAAAGCCATTTCATTTCTCTCTTACCTTTATGTATATGTTATTGATGGATAACGTAACTAAACCTGATTTAAAAACAAAAAAACAAAACAGAACAGAACCTGATTACTTTTTTAAGAAAATATATACAAAATTTGAGAAAACAAAACATATAATATTGGATTTAATTACGTGTATCCTAGACAGGAGACCTACTCATATTTTTTTCTCAATGGCCGGTATACTATATGTATGCATTTTAAGAGGAAAAATAATATTACTCCCCCCCCCCACCCATCTACAAGTTGAGTTTCAAGAACTTATCATAGTGAGAGTATGGTTTTGAGCTCAAAAATACTTATAAAGGCACTCTTAAATCATTCACCACACAAGGTCCTCACATTTTATTCCCTTTAGATAATATGCTTAAATCATTTTTATTTTTGGAATCTCTCTCCATCGTTGGCCGACGCAAATTCGATCAAACCCTTATCCTTTCTTCAAGTTGACCCCAACCTTGCCCATCGAATTTGACAACACATTTTCAAAATTAGAAGGAATCAATGATCTTTCTAGATATGAAATTAAAGTTTGAGTATACCCAAAACCATATTGTATATCCTTAGGATATCTGCTTTTAAAGTTAGCTTTTTACCACTCGTTGGAGTTTCCTCTATTATGAATATCACCAACAATATAAAAAGAAACCGCACGAGAGATAAATATTTGAATATAATGATTGTTTAGTTACCTATTTAGAGAGGGAAATTTTTTATATTATTGAGAATGATAAAAAAATCCCTCATGTTAATTACCAAAATTAAATATGAGAAAATATAGAGAAATTTATGGTGTATTTATGTACTATTAATATTAATTAATATCTCACCGATCTCTTCAATCTTCTATGTTAACTCACATTCTAGGAGAAATTTATGATTGTTTTATAAGTCACCTAGCTTGTATAAAAAAGGTGGATTATAATTAAATTCTTTAATTTCTTTCAATTTTATCCTCTCATATTTTTTTATGAATGAAAAAGGATTACATATGAGATAGAACATGTTTTTGAAGAAAATGCATTTAATAAGAATAAATTTTAAAAAATAGACAATGTCTATAATTTCACTACCTCTCCTTAATTACAATAAATTAGTTAAAGTGATAAAAATATAGGATCGAATGGAGTATATTTTAATGTTACAAATTTCTGTGGGTGTGTTATTAGAATTATTATATACAAGTATGAATTAAAAAGTAACATGATGAATATTTCAAGGTAGAGTCATCCTTGCCTTCATCAAAGAAATTAAAAGTCACTATATCTAAAGAATCTAAGGACGGTTGAGAAACAGAATCGACAAGAAAGAAATTCTTAAAAAAAAAAATCTCACCGCCAAAAACTTTGATCATGTGTGTTTCAATGTTTTGCAAGGACGATTCCATAAATCATTGCGTGGAGGGCTACAACTGAAATTTTATTTAAACGTGGGGGACCAAATTAATTTTGACACTTTTCATAGATAAAATTTTACTTATTTATAAAAGAAATTTTGCAGCATGGGGCCCACAGCCCCTGCTGGCCTCTTCTTGAATTCGTCACTGTATGTATATTCCTGATTATGTCAACTTGACTATTAATACTTATGTATTATTTTAGAGGAACAAAATATTTTAAGATCAAAGTTTGACTTTATCCTTAAAAAGAATTAATAAAAAAGAAAGTGATTAAATATATAACCGTTAATTTGTTTTAGTTATATTCTCATACGGTAGCTAAACATTAATTATCAGGAAACTTCAAGGTTTAGAACTTTGTTCTTTCATTGCAAAGAAAATGATTAACGAATCTTGTGTTCTGAAGATTGGAAAACATGCAATTAGATAAGATTGTGCTAAATTGTTGTACTTTTGCCAAATTGAATCAGCATATGAGAATAATCTAATAAGATCCCAATATATTCTCCCTATTTTAATTTATAAGATATTTTTAAATAAGTTTACATATATTAATAGAAGAACTTATTAAATATACTTTATAACTTTATTTTTTAAAAACAAAAATATAAATATTAAAGTATACTTTTAATATTTAATTTTATATAATATTTTATTTTAATCTCTTAATTTTATAAAATGCTTTTTCAATCCTTAATATATATCATGCCGGCATCCTTATGTGCCACCCTTTAAAGATGAGGTTGTCAGTGAGAAAACCCCACCTTCAAATTTGGATTCCTAAATTGAAAGAAATTGAAGGCTACCCCCACCAACATTTATATTTCATGTTATATATTCTAAAATACTTTTATTATAAGATAATCAAGTGATTTAAAAGACAAATGTGTTTATAGAGACTAATACTGTTATTAATAGACCTTCAATAAAGTGTAAAAATTTCTCTCACAACATGACGAACCTTTGAATTCTTATTGAAAGATGTATCTATATTTAATAATTGATCATGTCTTGAATAAAATTATCTTTAATAAAAGAATAGCTATAGATAATAAATAAAAAAAGTTTAAAAATTAAATTCAACTACCATGAAATGAAAAATGCAACTAGAAATAAATAAAAGGGGATTGTTATATTTTTTTTTTAGAAATTTGCCAAAATTAAAGGGGTTTCAAGATATTCTAACCTGTCTCTATGGTGCATCTTCAAGTTACTTCTCCCCACTTAGTCGATTCCTCCACACCCTTTTTGCACTTTAAAGATACAGGCATATGACGAGATGGACAAATAAATTGATTAATGATCCATGACTAGACGAATAAATTGATTAATGATCGATAACAGAAAATGACAGTCGCAAAAATCAAAACACACAGACAAGTTAAATTATAAAGTGTGTGGAGATGATATACCAGCTGATAATTATAAGCATATTCTGATCTGAGAATAAAGTCACTTGCATTGATTTCTTAATAAAAGATTATTCTGATACCTCTTGTTGAGCTGCCAGCGTGCGTGTGATTGCATGTACATAAAGTTATGAATCCCTAGTTTAGGTCTTGTGATCATAAGGGCACGATATAATTCGACTGTGAAAGATAATTAATAATAATTACAAATTAAAAGGGCTACATATATGTAAGAATCCAAGTCTATATAGCTACACGGCTAGTATATAAACTCCAAGACAACTTCATGAATGGGCGCGATAACTAATCATGGGCCCCTTTTTTGAAGATTAAAAATAAATAATTTTTAAGTAATTTAGAGATTTTATATAAAGAAATTTATTTTGCAGATATGTTATAAAAAACAAATACTATTTTATATTTGGTTATAATAATAAAAAAGTGATTATTAGTTAGTTATTTTTAAATTTTATGATATTTTTCTTGATTTATTATTATATTATTTTAAAATTTTATAATATATATTTATGTATCACAACTCTTTAAAACACTCTCTCTCATATATTGCATTAGATTATTTTAAAAAGCTACTTCTGAAAAGTTTAAACAAACATAATAAAATACTCATGAAATAGATTTTTAAAAAAATAAATAATTTTTTCATAAAATAAGCTAAAACAAACAGTTTTATATATTGTTCTCTCTGTTGATTAAGCATTAAATTTCACACCAAAGCCTTATCTTAAAATTTAGGTGTGCAACCTACATGAGGATATTTAATTTATAGAGTTTACAAGACTGTGGTATGTAACATATGTGGATGACAATTATCAAATGTTGACAAGGTCTTAATTATCAAACGTTTGTGGATAGAAGTCCAAAGAAAATTCTAGTCTTCAAATAGAACATATAAATCATAGATTCATGCACAAGCCTAGCTAAAGGTAGTCATCAATTCATCGTATAAAAAAGTTTCTGTTCAATATAATTGTCCAGAAAATGACATAATTTATAGGCACCTGCAATTGCTATTATGGATACATTATATTAAAGCGTCCCACATTGACTAATTGGAAAGTGAATATTTTAAAAATATATAACCCTATTAAATGAAAAGCTTTATATATATATATATATATAAAATATCTTTAAAGTCGAATATTTTCTTCAAGTTACAGTATAACACATCTTTTAAAAATTTTATTTGGTCTATAATATAAGACATTATGTAGTTTTTATAACCTGTATTTTCAACTTTACCTTCTGTTTGGAAAAGAGATGTATTAAAATTTCAATTATCTTTATTATAACACTTATATGGAATATTTAGTAAGGGTAAAAATAAAAATATGTACACTTTTGAGAGATTGTGGTTTTTATCAAGGGTGTTTATGGGATGGGATGAGATCAAAATACCTCTGTCCTGTGTCTCATCCTCAAAAATGATCAAGATTGGATTTTTATCTTGTGTCCTATCTCGTCCAATTAAAAATTGGGACAAGACTAGGATGAAATTGGGACGTCCTGCCGTCTCGATAAAATAGACAATATAGAATAAAGGCCTAAATAATAATATTCATTAATTAAAATTTTAAATTATATAACTTATTAAGTTTAAAAATATGAGTACATAAACCACAATAATTTAAAATTAATTATTAAATTATATCAATCATAACTACAAATGTACAACTTAAAATCAGGTATACATAAAACAACACATTATGATAAAAATTATAAGTAATCTCTAGGCTATATAAGAGCAATAACAAACAAGTCAAACACAATATCAAGTTATTGTTCTTATTTTTTAGTTGAGATATGTTAAGTCAGTAACTCTTCCAAAAAAAAGTAAAAAAATATGATATAAATAAAAGTTATTAAATAGATAAATATAAAAATAAATTATATTAATATAATTAATATATTTAAAAAACATGTTACCTTGTACTGCTTACTTTATGTCATTAAAATTATCAATATAAAAAATTTTTAATTTTAAATAAGAATTGCACATATTAAAATTATAATTAATATAAATATAATTATATAAATATAATTAATGTATATTTTTAAAATAAAAATTATATATATATATATATATATATATTATTTGGGACCGGGATCAGGCGGTGTAATTGCTAGTGTTTGAAGAGGAAAATGATCATTTTAATTCCCAAGAAGAAATTCATCACTCTAAATCGGCATTTCTTTTATTCGGTACAGAAAGTATCCAAAGAATCTGAGGACGGTTAAGAGATTAGAAAGTATAAAATTATGAGTGAAAGTGGGTGAAACATATATATATATATATATATAAATAGGCAAGACCATGTGCAGTGGATCTTCAAACTTCATGCTCATAGCTCAAAGCTCGATCATCGTCTCCTGCAAATCATCAAGCATCATCATGCCTAGGGGAACAACACCAGACGCACTTGTAGTTGGACGTGTTATTGGAGATGTGTTGGATCCCTTCACGAGGTCAGCCCCTCTGAGAGTCATTTACAGTAATAACAGAGAGCTCATTAATGGCTGCGAACTCAAACCCTCGCATGTCGTTAACCCTCCAAGGGTTGAACTTGGCGATGCTGACGACCTCAGGACCTTTTACACACTGGTACCTACTGTTTCAATTATTTCTCATATGCACACCCTACTGAAAAGCCCATAACACACATCATCATCTTCATTTCATGCAGATCATGGTGGACCCTGATGCTCCTAGCCCAAGTGATCCAACTTTGAGAGAGTACTTGCACTGGTCATCTTTCCCTTCTCTCTCTCCCTCTCTTCTTCTATATGTCAACTTGATGCACAGGATATCTTAATTAATTGTTTTTTATTATTATTTGTTACGTGTGTTTGATGTTCTGCAATGAAGTTTTATACATGCAAATTTAATTTAACAAATGCAAGCATATGAATGTTAACACGCAATTCAATCGTGACAGCTGGTCATTTTCAATTTGTCAATATTGATATAAATGCGATCGGTGACTGGCTATACATGTGTATATAACTCACAACTTCTTTCAAAATGGATGCCTACAGGTTAGTAACTGATATTCCAGCGTCCTTGGGGCCAAGCTACGGTAACTATATATACATATATATATATATTACTTTTATTTTCTAACCGTTTAATTACCTCTCCTTGTATATTACTTTGATGATGGTTGTGTGTGTGTGTCTGTGTGTCTGTGTGTGTAATTATATATGTACCTACATATATAGGGAATGAGATAGTGAGCTATGAGAGTCCAAGACCATCGGTGGGGATTCATCGTTATGTGTTTGTGTTGTTTCGTCAAGCAATGGGACGACAAATCGTAGATGCTCCTGGATGGCGTCAAAATTTCAACACACGTGACTTCGCTGAGCTCTACAACCTCGGACCTCCTGTTGCTGCTCTTTTCTTTAACAGCCAACGTGAATCTGGTTCTGGTGGACGAAGGAGATAATACAGATTTACACACACACCCCCCCTTATATATATATATATATAGTTTATAAGAATAAAACAAAGATCAAGTTTTTGGTCGGATCCTAGAGGAGGTGAATGATACAATAATAATCTGCTTTACACATACTTCGCTGCTATATACCTAGAACGTATAGTATGTGATCGTGACCAATAATATGTACGCATCTAGTCAAGATATAGATCAGATTATATAAAGTACTTATGTTTCAGGTATTGCAGAGGTTTTCTTTTGCTTGCAAATTGCTGTGGTAATAACACCTCGTTCCATGAAGGCAGGTATCCTCGCCGACATATAAAAGAGCGCGCGCGCGAGCGCGCATATACATAACATGTATAATGCAAAGATGTACGGACAGAATAGGTAGATACGATGCGACATAAAATTAAAACTGGGAGATTGATGCGTCTTTTTGATTACTTAACTGGTATCCACACACAGAGATAGAGCAAAGCTAAAAGGATCGATATTCTCTGCTGTGTCTCTTCATGGATTGGACGAAGGATATGTATGCGTTTAGACTGGGGGGGTTCAATATATAGCATCTAGATATATTCGTGTTGCTTAAAGTAAAAGGATACTCGTCTATATTTGTTCTCGTGAACGAATGCGACATTTTCAGGTCTTGCACAATCCACCCTCCATCCTTAATAACCAAAGGAAACATCAGAAAAGCCAACAAACATATGGCTGAATTGAATCAAAACCTGCAAGTTGCTTTCTTACTTGTGTTGTTCCCATTCACTACCATACATAAGTTTTTTCGTATCTCATTCCCCAGTCAAATAATTCATGACCGATCCACGATCCCAGTTATGCATTTCATGATGGGTATGTAAACTTTTATTAAATATCAAATTCATCCTTATCCCTAACCTCAGGACAGACTTCTAAAGAAGTATCTATGTATATATAAACATTCAAATCTTAGATTAGATTAGATACATATAGGCTACAGATAAAGGTGGGAGGATGTTAGGAATGGTGCAGTGATCGCCCAAAAACGGAGAAAACAAATAGACAAGAATAATGAAAGAACGCTATATTTTAATTCAAAACTTTAAAGTTTAAATTTACTGATCCTCCTACTTTATTATAAACTAATTATTAAGTTTAATTTTATTCGATGTAAGTACTTCGACAGCCGAAGAGAGCATGGTCCTTCTCTATATCCCTATCACCTTATTCTCTTGCGAACAAAGTTGGTCTATGAATGAGCGTTCCTCTTTTTCCTCCAAGGTTCTGAGAAGACGGAGATTACTCCAAGTTGAAACAAAAGGACTGCCATCAAATGTAGTTCAATGATTCGCTCTTAATTAGGACGACATTGGGGAAGAAATTAACTAACTTCTATAGGTATAAATATAGGGTTGGCCATGTGTATATGTAAGCGTGTGCTCAAAGTGACATGTGATGACGATGAGATCAATTGTGCCTAGGGAAAACGAATCTCTTGTGGTTGGAGGTGTGATTGGAGATGTTTTGGATCCTTTTACAAGTTCAATCTCAATAAGGGTCACCTACAGTAATCACAGAGAAGTCATCAATGGCCTTGAACTCAAACCCTCCCATGTTGCCAGCCCTCCCAGAGTTGATGTTGGTGGTGATGACCTCAGGACCTTCTTCACTCTGGTATATATATATCTCTATCTCTCTCTATATTTATATATATATATATATATAAACTTCTAGCTCTAATAAGTTGCGTTCTCTTTAATTAGTCCACAAGTTATTTGTTATGCTTGCAGATCATGGTGGACCCTGATGCACCCAACCCAAGCAACCCAAGTATGAGAGAATACTTGCATTGGTGAGTTTTCCCTGATCTCACTTTGTCTTTGCTGCTTCTTCTCAGTCGTTGGTTTCTGAACTTGATTGTACAATATAGAGAGAGAGAGAGAGGCTCGGATATCGCTTGCTAGCTTATTCTGTGTTCGTACTTCGATTCAAGTTCTTATTATAAACTCTCTCTCTCTCTCTCTCTATATATATATATATACACACACACATATATATAAATGAGTTATAAACTTTATCTGCTTCATTAATATAGATATTCGTACGTATACAGGTTAGTAACTGATATTCCAGCGACTACAGGACCAAGCTTTGGTAATTATGCATACGTGCCTTTTCTTTTCTGCCTTTTCTTTTCTACCTTTGTTCTCTTCTCCTTATAACTCCTGCAAAATTGATTAAACTATACACACCCACACAAACACAACATATCTGTATTATGAAGATATATTTAAGTACTATGTATTAATTAATTAAACTGTAAACGCACACACGCATCATAGATGTGTCATGAAGAAGACATTTGAAGATATATAAAAAAGTAGTGTGTGTGTGTAGGGCGAGAAATAGTGAGCTATGAGAGTCCAAGACCAACGGTGGGAATTCATCGTTACGTGTTTGTGTTGTTTCGTCAATCAGAGGGAAGACAAATGGTTGATGCTGCTGAGTGGCGACGTCAAAATTTCAACACCCGAGATTTCGCTATGCTTTCCAACCTCGGACCTCCTGTTGCTGCTCTTTTTTTCAACTGCCAACGGCAATCTGGTTCCGGTGGAAGAAGAATATAATATAATGTAATATAATATAATATAATATATACAGTATATGAATAAAACAAAGATTTCATTATGACCGAGTCATCTGCAGGAAGATGAATTATGTATAAGAATTCAGTACTTGTACGCCTCACGAGTCCACCACAAGGCTGTATATCTCTTTGTGGTACAGAAAGTTATACATTTATGAAACCGAATAATGTTTGAATATTAATCCAGATATCTATTATAGTGGCTAATTATAATGAGCATGCTATCATATACTTGTGTTTTTGCTGCTTGTTTCTGTGTTGACTTACGCGTTGGATTAGTTCCAATTTGGTTCTCATGAATATTAGATGCAAATAACTACACACACACACGCTTTCAAAAATGCATAACATCTCTTCTATAATCTATAAATGTCGTACATTTAGATTAAGTTCCCGAATCAGATGAGGCCTTTCTGACTTAAATTCCTTACCTTAACTTGCCCCTTTCAAAAGGTGAATATACGTACCCTCCTCCAGCTTGAGAGATTTCTTTCAGGAAAAGAACAATTAAATATAGCTAATCGTATAATATCTTACGAAGATTCTTCCCTTTTCGGGAAGTTTCCCAGAGAACTCAGAATATTACTCTGTTCTTAGACATGTAGTAATGTTATTCTCCAGAAACTGAACAGAGAATTTGATGATGAGAGGATATGCATGAATCAAGCTTCTAGAACACCTAGCTAATATATATTCTAGTCACATTAATTGATATCGCTACGTCAATTGCAGAATCCCAGAAAAGAAAAGGAATGAAACCAACAAAAAAATTTCCATTGACCACTCAAAACCTGTAACTCAACCATGACTGGATCTTGCCCCTTACAGATTACAGTACCATAATCCGTAAAAAGGTCACTGAAGATACATACAATTCTATTACTGTCATTTTTTTTTATATCAAAATATCAAACAACAGTCTCAAAAACTTCCATATTTGCAGCTAAGTACTGTCACAGAGCAAACTATTAAATTACACAAATAATACAGAAGATGCACGTAGCCTGCAAAGGCTTAAATTACACTTGGTATATGGATGACGGTTTTTTTTTTTTTTTTTTTTTTTGCCAACATGTTGGTGACGGATTTGGGAAACAAGAGATTCAATATTTTTCTTTTGGCTGAGCAGGACGAGGATTTAGCAGTGGTTGTAAAGCTTTAACTACAATGCTCATATTTGGCCTTAACCCAGCTTCATATTGCAGACACAATGCAGCAACAGCAGCCATCTATACGCCAAAAGAAAAAGGTCACATAAAACATTAATTATGATGTCATATAGAATTTACGTCAGACAAAAATTATATAGTCGACAGGTTTTAATCAAGAGATAAGCACGCTCAGGATTAAGCTTCTAACAATTTGATTAAAGAAACTCCGGTTCAATGTCAATGACCTCCTGAACTTAAGCTTTTGAATTGAGATGGCCTTTGGTAAAAGAGAATTTTGGTCTGATTACCTTTGCAACTGCTTTTGGAGGGTAGTCATTCTGTAATCTGGCATCCACACACTGCTTTACCTTATCTTCACTGAGTTTTGGTGTTGCCTAATAAAATCCAATGAACAAGAATCAGCTCATGCAAACAAAATAAATCACTTTAAGAAATGAAATAAGTAACAATTAATACCCAGGTCACAAGGCTTTGTTGCCCTCGTGGCAGTGTATGATCAACAGGTTTTCGCCCTGTCAAGAGCTCCAACAATATGACTCCAAAACTGTAAACGTCACTCTTTATAGTGAGATCACCTGTCATTGCAAATCTGCCATTGATAAAATAAAACCCTATAAGCTGTTAAAGACATTGCTGGAAAATGGAAAGAGACGATAAACCAAATTTTGAAGTTCACTGTAATCACAATAAATCTCTCTTCATTTCAACTGGATCAATATCTTGCATCAAAAAGTTTAAACTTTAAACCTCGTTTATCCAAAAATGCTCATTAGTTTAACAGTTGCTACATCCAGGACCAGGGATAACATACTCTGGAGCATAATAACCAAAGGTTCCAAGAACACGAGTAGAATGGACACGAGCTACTTCATCGGGGGCTTGATTTGACAAATCAAAATCAGCAATCTTTGAAACATCATCGTCAAAAAGCAGTATATTGCTAGACTTGATGTAGCGATGGATGATATGAGTTTCCGCTTTTTCATGTAGATATTCTAGTCCTTTAGCTGCTCCAACAGCAATTTTAACTCTTCGTGCCCAAGATAGAACTGGACCAGGATGTGCACCCCTTTCACCTTTGCGTCCTTCATCCACAATTCTCAAGAAAATTACATGTTGCAATAGAGATATTAAATACTACCTCCGGCCTATTTCTAAGAAACAAGTTATAGTTAAATAGGTCTAGAGGTAGCATGCACTAATCACTTACTCTATAAGAAGAGCAGCCTCCAACGTTTTGTGAACAGGCTAGACTAGAATAAAAAAAGTAAAATTTGCACAGAAAATATGATTTTAAAGCCGTCCAGTTTCATTTTCATAGCTAACATTGTTCTCAATCCATAGTTTTCAAAGCTTGTTACAAGTATGGCTTATGAGTTTCTATGCATAAAATCCGTAAGTAGAAACTTTGAAAGAAACAATCAGAAAGTATGAATGCGCAGGCATACAAGCATAAACTGAACGGTAACATGGCATGTACTTACCATGTAGGATATCATGAAGTGATCCTTTAGGAGCATACTCATAGGCTAGGGCACGAAAAGGACCCTCAACACAATAACCAACAAGTTCAATAACATTTTCATGCCTCAACCTTGATACAATGGAGACCTAAACAAATGAAGTAACGAATCAAGAGAATTGAATAAAAATTGTGCGACTACAGATTACAGAATGTGATGTATTCAACATAATGCTTTCAACCAAACCTGTGCAAGAAACTCTTGTTCTGGTTGCTTACTGGAATCCAACTTTTTTATAGCCACAGCACGGCCATTTCTCAATATGGCATGATATACTTTGCCATAAGCACCCTCCCCAATGAAAGATTTTGTGCCAAAATTATCTGTCACGGACTTTAATTCATCCACCGAAAGGGAAGGAACAGCTATAGGTTGGAAATGTACAGTAGGTGGAGTGGTTCTTGCAACAGCTTCTCTTCCAGGATAGCCTGTGCTCCCTGAATCAAACTAGTGAAATTAAAATTGTATGAAACAAAAAAGAAAAGAAAGAAACTGAAATGAAAAAAGAAGAAGAAGAAGAAGAAGAACTTAGGACTCAGCTTTTAAGCATAGGACAGAGAAATATAAGAAACATGTCGAATGTGTCAATAAATTTACATGAAAGAAAAAACGGTGATAGTGAATTACCTGCAGAATTGTTTTGCATGAAGGATTTATTGTCAGCATGTGTATGAACATCACTTTCTTCACAACAGCCAAAGCAACCCATGATCCTCTTCATTAAAGGGGAGAATGAAACTCAGTATCAAATTTTTTAATTATGCCAGTTGGTATCATAAGAGCCAGTCACATATTTTCAGTTCAGAACCCTTAATCTCCTTGAAGCACAGATTTAAAAGAAGGATGGAAATTAAAAAAAAAAAACGCTTATTTCGATTGTTATCTCATGCTGACATGAATGAAAAAGGATAAACAGATAGAAGTGACTGCATACACTTCTAGTATAATGGCTAAAATGGTGGAATTTTCTATTCATAGACACGCTGACATTTAACAATATTAGAAACGTTTTGGTCATTCTGCTCTGGTTAAACAGAAGAAGAATCAAGTTCAAAAACTGAAAGTATTCCAAATTAACACATTCAAAAACTAGCATAAGATATGCTGTTTTTCCACATCCTCTGGCCCTTCACTTGTAAATTTTAAAATTCTGACTCGCTACAGAGATTCAAAAAGAAGCATAGATATGGCATTAAGGAGACTAAGCCCTACAGCAAGTCAGTAACAACCTCATAACCTAGATTCGAGTTAATAGAATTTATTGGAGAGATGGACGGATAAGAGATCAGATTTTTATTAAAACAAAACAAGTCTTTCCTTTTCAGAATTTTTTTTTTTTTTTCCCGGAACCACAACAATATCAAAGGAAACTGTGTTTTATTTGAGTTAACGACTGTAAGATTCTGTTTCCTCACATATATATAAGACAAGCCTATTTCTGAGGAAGAGATATACAATTAGTACGCACAGAGAGATTATCTATGACGAATCAAAATTAGAACCCAGAAGCGGGTGATGACGCATCAAACAGATAAAATAGATAAAAAGGGGGTTCAAATTGACAGAAGAAAAATCTGGGTCTTCAGAAGAGAAATGGCACCTTTTAGTACAGAGACTCTGGAGTTGTACTGTTTCTCTTGTTGACACAGAAGCAGCAAAGAAAAGCAGGCGAAATGAATGGAAAATTGAGGAGTTCACGGGATGAAGGAACTCAAAAGAAAACAAATGCTTTAAATGTGGACGACGAAGAAGAGGAAGGAGAAAGTGTTAGTTATTTAAACCAAAAGTCAACAGTTTTTCTCTTTGTTCGTTGGCTCCCACCAGTCCAAAATGGCGGAAACCGATTAGTCTTCTTCGTTTTCTTCTTTTTATTTTTTATTTTTCGGGCACCCGGTGGGTTCAATGATTTTTTTTTTTTTGCTCGTTTGGCCTCCGTGATTGAAAGCATTCTTTGGTACTGTTTGGAAATGGAATTTCAGTTTATTCATTTTAATTATTTCTTGATTTTTTTTTTGCCAGAATTTTCGTTCTTGAGATCAGATGAGACTTTAAAAGCATGAGAAATAAAAAGGCAACGGTTAACTTATTTTGATATCTTCTGTTTTTATTTTTATTTTTTTGTCGCGCCTAATGTTTTAAAAAATATAATTATATTCTTACAATTTTGAAAATTTCATTTCATTTATTTTATTAAAATATCAATAATATAATTAGTCATATATTTAAATTTTTTGAATTGTATTATTTAAGTTTGAAAAGATTAATCTGCAAGTTGTTATAATTTTTTAATTTTGAACCAAGTCCCTTTAATTTATTTTTGTTTTAATCAAGCTCTTATAGTTTGATCTATTAATATGTTAATTTTTTAATATTAAAATTAATTATGAATTATTAAATTTTTCAAATGAGAATATTTTGGGAGTTTGAAGAAAATTTAATTTAATAATTTTAGCAAAATCAAAAAAATAAAATTTCACTTAATACATTGTTTACATTTTTATTAATTATTTTAATGAAAATGATATAGGTATAAAAATATTTAAAAGACTACTTAATTATATAATTTTAAATTATAAAAATTATGCAATCAATTCTAAAGTAATATAATTATTTAATAAAAATATAGATAATTTTAATTTTTTTAAATTCAAGTATTTTAATTTTCATGGGTTACATTAAATAATTTAATTGATTAGACTATAAGGATTCAATTAAAAGAAAATAAATTTTAGATATCTAATTCAAAATTAAAAAAAATTATGAGAATTTATAGATATATTTTCCCTTTAAATTTTGTAAAATAACATGAATAAATATTCCATCTGTTCAACAATATAGGGCTTTTTTTTAACCTAATTATGCCCTTAATAAGTTAATCGACTGTCATTAAACTAGTATTATAATTACACCCTCATTTTTAAATGGAAATAATATTTAAATGTCAAAGTGTTTAGATTAAAATGAGTTCCTTGAGCATACTCTCTCTATCTTTATTTACAGAAGAAACTATCACTTTTATTTTTTTTATATAAGTAAAATTATATTTTTTAATAAGCATTTATTGTAAAATTTTTAAATTACCTTTCATAATTTTATTATTCATAGTCATAAAAGACAATTAATGAATGCTTGATTAACATAATTAATGAAGAGTATTGTAGTCCTATTTTTTTATTTACAGACATAATTTAATATAATTAATTGATTTTTTTAAATTGTGTAATGTAATTTTTTTTTCTACAAATAAAAATGAAGAGAGTAGTTATATTAGTTAATAATCTTAAGATGGTACTAATTAATGCACAATAAATGAAAGTTCAACTTCTTGTTAAAAAAGTGTTAAATTTAATATTGATTATGTTTTAAACAAACAGTATCTTCGATAAAATGCCGACAATACTTCATTTATTTGAGAATGCGAAGAGAATTCAACTAGTTGATTTACTTGCATTATATTTAAAGTTGGTAAAGTTGTTCATTTATTTGCACACGTGTGGAATAGACTTTTCTTTTTTTCCTACCACGGATGGAGACAATTAAGGTGTGGGGTTAGTCGGATTCTCTCCACTTTGCTCAAATAATTCTCAAGTCTGACCCCCCCCCCTTTTTTTTTGCAAGCACTGGTATTATTAAAATCATCAATTTTAAATAAACAAACCAACTATGCGGGAGAGTATTTATAATAATCATGTCTGATTTTTTTACTTTAATTTAAATCATGTGTATTCAAAAAATTTATATTTAATAGTTTATACATTTTTAAAATTAATTAAAAATATATTTGTCCATTTTTAATGCCTATTTGATCAAGTCAGGCTTTTTAACATAAAAAAAGATATAAAATTTGAACTAAAGATTATGAACTTTATGGTTTTTTCCATTTTTTATATGGATCAGGTTATATTTTTTTTTTACACGAACATTGATATAAAATTATTATTAAATTATGATGAAATAAATATAATAAATATTGCATATCCAAATCTAGTCCGTACATGAGGTCGACAACTGCAAGCACACCCCTGCACTCGTTCTGTGAGTTCTTTAAAAGCGGCTTCGTTTTTCGATCCCATTAAAGATGATTGATTTGGAGACTTGATTTTTTGGTTGGTTCAAAATCCACGAAAATTCGTTGTTTTTTTTCAACTGGGTCAAACTAACAATTCTTTATAGTCAAAATATTCTGAGTTTCATTTTTTAGGTCAATCCAAAGTCAACAGTAAAAAATGTCGCATGAGGCCTGCCATTATCAGATTGGGCCCAGTTTATCTGGACTTACTATCAACTTGGGTCCATATTCAAGTCACCATTCAGAAATTGGCAATTGTGGGCCTAAATTAACATGGTGCCGAAGGTCTATGGGCGGAGACTCTAACTCAGAAATATCTATTGAGGAATGAAAATGACCCTCTTGAAGCTAAGAATGGTGATTCTACGCTATGGCTTTTTATTTGTCAACAAAAAGATGTGCTGGAAAAAAGGAACGAGGTGGCAAATCCAAAATGGCAAAAGTGTCATTTCATTCAATGATAATCGGTTGCTTTCGGAAGGCACGCTGAAAGATAAAAGGAGAATTATGTTAAAATTCTAGAAAATTAATTATTACAAAACTCATTAACAATTGAACTAATATTATTGACAACACAATATGTTATTATTTTTTTTAGTTAAGTTGTTAATGAAACTTGTAATAACTAATTCTTTTGTGTGATACGTGTAATTCTCCAAGATAAATTCTTGAGACCCTTATGAGGGAACAGGAGGAAAGCGAAGTTGCAAATTGGCACTATATGGCACGTGAGACTTTATCAAGTATCTCAACCAATGCCAACCGAGATTATCCAAAGATTAATCACTGTATTACCACCTCGGGATAATGTTGGCCATGATATTATGACATGGAAAGCTAATCTTCATGGCAATTTCACAATCAAGAGTGCGTACTTTCTGATTGAAGAGTATCCAAAACATGCCTCTAACCCCTTATACAAATGGATCTGGTGATGAAAGGGTGTGGAAAGAATCCGTGTTTTCATGTGGTTGGCTTATTAGAATAGGCTTCCAACTAACCAATGGCGAAGTTGCTGGAGTTCAATTTTCTCCTTTGCATGGTTGGTGTAATTCCAGTGTTGAGAATGTTTTACACATATTCAAGGATTGTACCTACGCTCGGACATTATGGCACGAACTACTACAACCCAGGTATTCTTCCCAGTTTTGCTCAACGTCTTCACTAATTAACTTGCTATAAATCTTAAAAGAACCTTTATTCTAATGTGGGTGTTAATTGGAGTCTGATGTGGGGAGCTGCTGCGTGGAAATTTTAGAGTTGGCAAAATAATTTTATTTTTAATCCCAGTTTTCATAAACCAAGTGAACCTACCATGGTTATAAGCTGCACTTGGAAGTCCGTCTCTTCACTTGCAGATACAAATATAAATGAGGGAGGTTCTACTAATTCTGCTATGGAAGCTTGACAGCATCCTCCTCCTGAGTTTATGAAAATCAATGTAGATGGAGTTATGTTAAACATTAGTGAAGGAGCTAGCTGTGATGGAGTCTACGAGACTGCAGAGGAACATGGGTAGCAGGCTTCACCCACTTCCTTGGAAGCTATGGTGTGCAGGAAGCAGAGGAATGGGTAGTTCTAAACGGATTGTGATTAGCGTGGGATATGGGATTCAAAAAAGTGATACTGCAGCCTGATGCAAAATTGGTTGTTGACAGTATCAACAATGACACCATAGGTGGTAATGGAAGTCTCCTACATTTACAAATTTTTTTTCTAATGAACTTCGACTAGGAGGTGCATGTTCTATATGTACTGAGAGAGATGAATCGTGTGGCTGATGTGCTAGCTAAGGAGGGCCTTCGATCTTTTCTTTGCTAGATGTGGTTCCTCCCTACTTAAGGGACCTTGTGAACAGTGAACAACTAAGATTGCAATCCCATCCTATTTAATTTCTGCTTGGGGCCTGGCCTTCTCTTGTATTAAAAAAAAAAATGATGCATGACTTGATAATTGTACATATTTTATTATTTCATTGTTGTACATGATTTTAATTGATTCGGATTAGACATAAGTTTTATTGTTAGAGAAATTTCATACTCATTTTAAGCTTGTTCACTAGTTGTATTTTCAATCACCAGGAATTTAAGAAAATTTCATACCTATTTTTAGAATTTTTAGCAGTTGTATTTTCAGCTACAAACAAATTAATTTAAGTCTAAAATAGGTCAATTTTCAAATAAGGTCAATATACTTTCCAGCAGCGAGTTGAAGCTAATAAACTTATACTCATCTTAAGTGTTTTCAACATATGTGACAAATTTATTTATTTTTATTACGATTAAGGATCACAATCTTTTATTGATATTTCAATAATTTAAGATTCTAATATTAATTGTGAGTCTTATATGAGTTTCATTAATCTAACATGGTGATTCTGTTAGCTAGAAGACAACAGAAGAGAATTAACATTATAGGCTTTCACAGTTAAAAATAAATAAATAAAAGTCTGAGTGGTTAATTTTAAAATATTTATTCACTTGGCATGAATATGGTTAACGAAGACATGAATTCACCTGTTTTTTGTCCATAAAAAAAAAAAACTCACCTGTTTTACTTAATGACTAAACTAAATAGATACTATTTCATTATACATGCATTGACCTGTTTATGGTTGTTAGGGGGGAATTGCCAGGTACTAGTAAATGTAATTATTTGTCGGTGTTTAATTATCAAGGGATTCAGTAATAA